AGGTGTTCAGAATGGTTTGATCCCTATTCAGCTGAATTCCTGAGACCAGACAAAATCCAGGTCTCCTACTCCTCCGCCATCTTGCTCCGCCTCCAGATAAATAGATTTTTTAAAGTTTGCTAGTTATTTGCCTCTGTAAAGAATAATTTCCATTTTTGTCACTGTGAATTTAGTTAATGATGGTAACTTTGTGTTTTCCATATATGTTAAACATTTAAATTTGAGTAGGTGAAGGAGCTTAAAAATATTTAATTTTTAAAATCAAAGTAATATATATATAGTTAAAAAATTAGAAAATGTGACGGACATAAAATGAAAAGACTGCATGACCACCCTTCCCACTCCAGAATCCTTTTCCCTAGAATAGGCCACACTCAGATCTCTTAGCTGTTGTTTCTCATTATTTGCCTCCTTATTTATAACTAATATGCTTTTACTGTTATTTGCTGATTTAGTAATTTTTAGCTATTTCTGTTGACTTCCTGCCTGTTACGGAAGATGAGGATTTCACACTCTTAAATCTACTCCCACTTCTTTTTTTTAGCATCTTCCCAATGTAGTTACCTCACAATTTTTGGTTAAATCTTTATTTACTGTTTCTATTCTGATGATTATATAAATATTAGTAACTGTTGAGTCATATATTATGAATACATGACCTTTCTTGAACAATTTTTTTTTCCAAATTACATAGTTACCAAAAAATCGTTTATTTTCTATGTAGCTATCATTCATTCCTGCCAGATTCTCTCACGATATTGTAACCCTCCACAGAATAAGGTCAGACACATCAGGTGACCTGTTGCTCTCTGGTTTGCTTCCCATGGAGGTCATGGGGCCGTCTAGACTCCTGTCCCAGTCTAGAGCATGGGTCTTCCCTGTCTTGTGTTGCATCCTTTGCTTCTTGAATTCCTTGTCTTCATTTTTCTTGTTTTATTCCTTCATATTGAAAGGATACATCTTCCCGTAGCTTCCAGAGATTGGGTCCATGGGAGGTTTTTTTAGCTGTGACAAGTCTAAAATACTGCCTTTATTGTACCTTTGTCCTTAACTGGTAGCTTGGCTAGCTATAGAATTCTAGTTAAAATTATTTTTTATTAATATTTTAAAGGCATTGCTTCCCTGTTATCTAGCTTCCAGTATTGTTGCTGAGAGATTGAGAAACCATTCTTTAAAAAAAAAATAAAAAAATTTATATATATATGAATGTGTGTGTGTGTGTATATATATATATTTATATATGAATGGCAGGAATAGAGGGGTAATAGGCCAAAACCCATGTATATACTGTCCATTTTCATTTCATTTTTAAAAAATTTTTATTACTTTTTTTTTTTTTTTTTTTATTTTATTTATTTTTACACCCAAGAGAGGGCTCAAACTCACAACCTGAGATCAGGAGTCACGTGCTCTTCCGACTGAGCCAGCCAGGTGTCCCCATACTCTCAGTTTTCAGCAAATCTATATATTTTCCACATGTGCTTCATCCCTTCTGTTCCTTTCCCCTATCCTGTTTGAGAAAGTATTTATTGATACTGCTAAAGCTCCTCTGATCCTTTCCTGATAACACTATGTAAAAGCATTCTTCTGAATTTGCTATGTATTTTTCCTATGTATATTTTAATACTTATAGTAGCTATGAATATATCCATAATATTGTTTGCATGTTGTAAAAATCATATAAATGAAATCATACCATGTCTATTATTGTGTAGCTCTTTTTTAAATATGTATTTTTGAGGTATGTCCATGTTGGTAATTGTAGCTCTTGTTAATTCACTTTCATTAGTGTAATGTACCCCATTATAAGATTATATTAGAAAACTTAATTCTAAATGGCTTAAAATGTATAAACTAGCTTTGAAATAAGTTATAATAAGGCATTTATGTATTGCAGAATATTTTTATAATATTTCCTGATTAGGCTTAATTCCTTATTTAAGAAATTAAACCAAAATCAAGACTTATGGCTTGATATGGAGGATTAGTTGGAACCAGCTGGTTTTGGGTCCCTGTCCCCTGAGTAGGGAAGAGGAAAGTAGTAGTGGTCTTGAGTTCAGGGGCAGGTGACAAGAAGCCAGATCAGTATTTCACCCTCCTATTCAGAAGACCAGCTGTCCATGTGCATTGGGGGAGCCTCATGTCTTTAGATAATTTAGCCTAAGCCAGTCCCAAAGTTCCAAAGAGAACATGGAAGGCATGCTTCCAAATTCTGATGTTGGCTTCAGTGTCTCTGGACTAAGGAGGGACAGACATAAGAAAGTCACTACTAATATAAGTTCTCATTCAACCTGAGCTTCCTTTGGATACCGTTTGCTTTCATTGCGATGGTAATTTTTAACATAGTGTAATTTATTACTCATCTCACCACCATTTTTTTATTGTCAGTGAGAGATTTTTCTTGAACTAATTGAGATAGAACATGATCTGGAACTAGGTTAAGTGTGATTTGATGAAGATAGTGATTCATATTTTAACTAAACTATTAGTTTTCCCCTTAGTGGCCAACCACAACATATATTGAAGATGCTAATCATTTATTCACCTACTCTTTCCTGCAACATATTATTTAGGGAATGCCTAAATATCTAGACATTGGGGATAGAAAGATGAATAAGAGGGGCCCAGGTGGCTGAGTTGGTTAAGCGTCTAGCTCTTGATTTTGTCTCGGGTCATGATCTCAGGGTCATTAGGTTGATGCTGGGCTCCGTGCTTGGGTGTGCAGCCTGCTTCCGATTCTTCCTCTCCCTCCGTCCGTCTCTCCCTCCCTCGCCAAAAAAACCAAAAACCAAAAAAACCAAAAAACAAAACCCCCCAAAACCAAATGCCTCATGGTTTCGGAGAAGAGGCATGCCGATAAATGGTGGTGGGCATGACAACAGAACAAGGAGGACACGAAGTGACTGCTCTGGAGCAGGGAGGCCGTTCCCATTCAGCATGTAACTCAGGTCAAGCCTCCTCCTCCCCTGAGCATAGGTAGCCTGTGGTCATCACATCCACTGCTTGCTCTTCTTCTGAGCACATTCATGACATCCAGTCTCTATTTATCACCATTGTTTGTTGTAAAGGAGCCTCACTTTCAGACAATTTGTAATAAGTTGTCATTGTTAGGAATTTGCTTTGAAATTTATTCTTAGGCAGAGGTATGCTCATTTGAAGATCTACAAGCATACACTTGGATTTTTGTGTGTGCTTTGGCTAAGACAGATTTTAGCCCCATTTCTCTCCTTGGTAACTGTGTATCTGGTGTCTAATATATTTAAGAATAAAGAGAAGTGTGATTTCCTTAAGTAAGTTTACAGTTTTTTTTTTTTTACACATTTATGTCAAAGATAGGAAAAATATCATGACTAATTGTGAACAAGTTTGAAATTTCTTTTCATTCTTTATAGGTTGTCTTGTGGAAATGAAGCCTTAAGGGCAAGTTACCTACCAGATTAAAGATGGGATCGAACAGCAGCAGAATCGGTGATCTTCCTAAAAATGAGTACTTAAAAAAGTTATCGGGCACAGAATCTGTCTCTGAGAACGACCCGTTCTGGAATCAGCTTCTCTCGTTTTCTTTCCCTGCACCAACCAACAGGTAAAAGGTTACTTGGAGATTGAAAATTCATGTAGAAGGCCACACGAACTTGAGTGGTATGCTGATTAAAAAAAAAAAATGTTTTTAATATTCTGTTCATTGATCCATCCTCTGTCATACATGTGCCAGTAGGTATGCGAGTAGGAAATATAGTTTTCTCTTTCCTTTCTTCCAGCCGCCTCCCTTCCCCAGACATGACTCCTCATAGCAGTTTCTTTTGCATTTTCTAGAGTACTACGAGGTTACGAGGTTACATAGCCATGTATCCATGTAGTTTTAGAAAATTATTTGAACCTGGGTGGCTCAGATGGTTAAGCGTCTGCCTTCGGCTTGGGTCGTGGTCCCAGGGTCCTGGGATCGAGTCCTGCATCGGGCTCCCTGCTCCTTGGGAGCCTGCTTCTCCCTCTGCTTCTCTCTCTCTCTCTCTCCCTCTGTCTCTAATGAATAAATAAATAAAATCTTTAAAAAAAAATTATTTGAACACAAGTGCTAGCATCCTGCGCTTACCTTTTTCTTTTTCTGCTGCTGTCCTTGCTTTTTTCCCCCCACAGTTAAGTAAAATGTATCTTGTGTGTGTGTGTGTATGTATGTATGTGTGTATATATTTGCTTATATGCAACTGTCTTATTCTTTTAAATGCTCGCAGAGTATCTGCAGAATATACTCAATCAGTTTTCTGTTTGTGGATGTTGTTTTTAGGCTTTTGTTACAACAAATAATCTGCATACATCATTTCCCATGTGTACAAATACATCTCTAGTATAAATTCCCCAAAGTAAAATTGCTGGGTTAGAGTGTTCTGTGTTTATTTTTTTTTATGTGTTTATAATTTTTGTAGATATTGCTAAACTGTTCCATGGAAGTCACACCAATTTATACTCATAGCAGAGTATGGGAAGGTCTGTTTCCCACATTTTTGTCAGTTTAATGCATTTTTAGACTCTTTGGCCTATGCCAGTTTGATACATGAAAACCAATATCTCATTTTTAACTTTGTGTGTCTATCAGTTTTTATAATAATAATGTAGAGTGACTAGAATATTGAATTCCCATATATTCAGTATCTACAGTATAAAATTTTTATTTTTTTAATTTTTAATTTTATTTTTTAAAGATTTTATTTATTTACTTGTCAGAGAGAGAGCATACAAGCAGGGGGAGCGGCAAGCAGAGGGAGAAGCAGGCTCCCCGCTGAGCAAGAAGCCCGAGGCAGGACTCGATCCCAGGACCCTGGGATCATGACCTGAGCTGTAGGCAGATGCTTAACCAAATGAGCCACCCAGGTGTCCCAAATTTGTTTTTTTTTTCTAACAGGTTTAGTGTGACAGGCGGAATAGTGGCCCCCTAAAGATGTTTTAGTCCCTGAAATCTGTGAATATGTTATGTTGTGGCATGTATCAATGCTTCATTCCTTTTTATTTGAGTGGTAGCTCATTGTATGAATATACCATATATTGTTTATCCATTCATAATTAATACCATTTGGATTGTTTCCATATTTGCTTCATCTACTTTTGTTTCTTAAGTATTTTAAAGTAAAATAAGGATGTTTTCTTCTGTGACCATAATGCCATTATCAGACCTAACAAAATTAACAATAATTCCTCCTACCCAGTCCATATTGACTTTCCCCCTGTTGTCTTATAAGGGTTGCTAACATTAGGAACTAAATAAGGTGGATACGTTGCATTTGGTAGTTGTATTTCTTAAATGTCTTTAGAATAGAAGTATTCACTCTCCAGCCCCTGCCACAATTTTTTCCCCATGCTGTTAATTTTTTGAATAAATTGAGTCTGTTTTTCTGTAGAATGTTCTACCTTCTTGATTTACCTGATTGCTTCTCATATCTCATAATGTGTTTTCCTTTATTTTTTGTGTTTTCTATAAACTAGAAGTCAGATTTAAAGGCTTGATAAAAGTTAAACAGTTTTGGTAAGGGTATTATGTAAGTGATTTTATATACTTCGTACTGTATAACATCAGGATACAGAAAATGTGTGGTTTTAGTTATGCTAAATTTGCTCAGAGGTTTGAGTATGTTGATGATTTTGGTCTGAATCACCTGTTTCATAAGTAATTACAAAATGGTGGTATTTCTAATTTGGTCATTTCTTCTACATTTATTAACTGGAATTTTTCTGTAAAGCAGAGCTTTCCTTCATCATTTAGGTTATAGAAAATAACAGTTTTTACTATATTATTAAATAAGGGTAAACACTTAATTCTTTTCCTTTATCAATTTTCAGTAATGAAAATAGTATAATGGTGACAAGTATTTCCCCTCTCCCTCAATCCCAGGCTTGGAAGGACTGTCTCTCCGTCTTTTTATGGTGAATTAAAAAAAAAAAAAAATTACGTATGTATGTGTGTTGTGGCCCTTATGGTTTCGGTTTGCCTTTGTTTAGTGATCAAGGTTATTTTTATGCGTTTGAGGATTAAGGATTATTGGCATTTCCTTTTTGTGAACTATTTATATATTTTGGCAATAAAATTTAATTTCTAACTTCTGGATACAGTTGGATTGGGCCTCAGAAGTTTCACTTAGTTTGCAGTTCATGTGATAGCACGGATTAGTTGCAAATTATATGAAGCGGGTACTTATCACTGCTTCTGAGACCCTTGGAAATTTAAAGAAGCTGTGGAGGGGCAGGAGAGGTCAAACTGGAGACAGCTGTAGCGTCAGCAGATTTTGAAACCACTTCCTTAATCCTTGAGGAGTTGTCACTGAGTACCATTGCGCCTGTTGAAATAATACTTAGAGAAAAAAGGGCATATGGAGACTTCATCATTTGTTGTCAAAACAAATCCTCTTTTCATTTACGTAAACTACAGTACAGTGTACTTCCGTGTCTTCTGAAAGACATTAAAGAAGACTTAACTAAATGGAGAAGATTTAGAAGACTATCATAAAAAAGTCAGTTCTTCCCCAATTGACCTATAGAGAGGGCAATTCCAGTTAAAATCCCAACAGCTTTTTTCGGGGGTGGGGAGGGGTGAGGTGGAGAGATTTTGATAAGGTGATAAGATTTTGATAAGGGATGAGGTGGATAAGATTTTGATTCTAAAAGTTAAATGGCAAAGAAAAGAACCTAAATAGCCAAGTACTTTTGGAGAAGAAGGCGGCTGTGTTGTGTGCCCATGGACTTGACTTCTGCCGAACTGGCACTTTCGAGTACTGGGGGCAGGATGGACTGCTTAAGAAACAGTGAATAAGATGTTAGCTATTTCTGTCTATTTCTTAACCCTCTGGAGTTTACCTCTCTAGTTCACTTTGCTAATTACTGCTCTTTCTCGAAGGTCCTTTGCTGCTCTCATGTGTTCTTTTGGATGTCATTCCTTTTTCTTAATTCACCCTAGTTTATACAGAAAAGTATACAGGAATCTCAGGAAGTGTGAAAAGCTGAAAGTTAATACACTGCACATTGTGGGTGTGGGGGGAATAGCCCCAGGGGCTTCACTTGCCGTGGTGCACCTCTGTCGCTTTGTTTGAGACACCCACCCCCTCAGTGCTGGTGTTTGACGTGTGACCTGTAGGACCTTGACTCTGAGCTAGCAGGTACCACCTCATTGACAGAAGCAGGGATGGGATTACCTGCTTTGTGAATTACTCAGGACTGAGATGAATCTCTGTAGGGAAGATTCTGAATCTGGACATTTTTGAGATTGCTCACTCCTGGAATTCCTTGGACCCATATGTGCTGTTTTCAAGTGCAGTCCATTTTTGCAGCCAAAAATTGGTGTCTGCCAATTTTTTAGAAACTGTAAGGCCTTTAGGACTAATCTAATCCTTCCTTACTATAAATTATTTTTGGCACTAGAGTAATCAGATTTTGTTAGAGTTTCCAGGCATGATTGCAAAATCCTATTTAGGTTCTTCAGTAGTTTTTAACTTATCACCTTATTCAAATTACTTGTGAAGCAAAAGTCTGAGATGAAATCAAGATTAAGAGTAAAGTTTAAGTAACATGCTGTTTATTTTTCTTGATAAAATATTTTTAAATTACTTGCATGGCTCATTTTATACATTTCTAAATTACTGAATAGCAAAAACAAGAAACAAAACTGATTATTTTTTTGGTTCGTGGGCATCTGAGTATCCGCACGTGAGTGTATGGTGTGTGTGAACACATTTATAATATGTGTCATGCCTGTCACTGAGAATGACTGGACCAGATGACCTTTCACTGTTTATAAGCTATTATTTACTCATTTGCTTCTCAGGATATAATGAGGAACTGGGTAACGTCTCTTGCCCTCAAAGGACTTATAGTCTATCTGTAAACCAATAGATGAGTACAGTGGAGTATGATAAAGGCTGTTACAGAAGAAGTACTGGGAAGCATGAACACAGCAGCAGCTCAGTGTCTGAGTTAGAATGGGACAGGGCGAGTCACAGATTTCCAGAAGGAAGTGGCGTATGTTTGTTTATTTCACTTCTGGTTTAAATCCCAGGAGGTACCAAAGGGTATTTAATGAAAGCCTCTTCCCTACTCCTGTGTCCCTCGACCAGTACTCCTTTTTGGAGGCAACCAAAGCAGGAGTGATGCTCAGAGTCCTGAGCCAGAGGGAAGGGGGCGGGAGTAGGAGGGGACTGGCCGCAGTCAGGGGGCGGCCGAGGGAAGGCCCAGTGGTGAGGAAGAACGTGGCAGGTGTGCAAAACTGAAGGGGTGAGCGGCGGGGATTTGGCCAATTTGAGGGGCCTTGCAGAAAATACTAAGCAGTTTTGATTTTGTCCTAGTATCAGAGGGAACCACTGAAAGATTTTCAGTAGAAAGGCCAGGATCAGGCTTTCATTTTATTAGATATTCTAATTGCATCACCTGTGGTCATCACTCTGTCCTTGAGCAGAAATTAAAGTTGACCCTTGAACAACACAGATTTGAACTCTGCAGGTCCACTTAAACATGGATTTTTTTCACATTTTTCACAATACAGTACTATAAATGTATTTTCTTTATGATTTTCTTAATGGCATAGTCTTTTCTCCAGCTAAACTTATT